GCATAGTAAAGGAGACTCAGAAAATGTGTTTAAGTGTTAAATGGGAAAATATTTTAGAGGGTTTTTTTTTTTTTTAGGGATGCCTCAGTGTTTCCCAAATTGGGTGATACACCCCCACTCCCATGCTGAAATGATGGTAGGCAGCTGGGATGACACTTTCTGTTTATTTCCCAAAAGCGGTAGATTCCTGGGAGCAATTAGGCCAAGTAAGTTTAGGGGTCTCTGACATATGAAGGTCCTTATAAGAGGGTTGTCAGACAGGTGAGATGAGCTTAGGAAGCATGTGGTGGTCTGAGAGATTTGGAAACATTCAGCAGCTTGCTCTGAAATGGGAGAATCTGCTTTGAGGCAGGGCCGAGGTGGCTTTTAGAAGCTGGAGCAGAGGGAGAGTCAGGCTTTCTCACAGTTTCTGAAAGTAGCTGCCTTACTGTGTGTAATGTGGGCCTGCTCAGGTCTGGGCAGCACATCTGTCTGCCAGAATTGCAAGATCATGCATGCGTGCATGGGTACAGTTTTAAGTCACAGTAAGCCTGTGGCAGTTTCTAAAAATCACTATGACAAGCACTAGACAATCACTGCAGTGTGTTTCAGCAGGGATGCCAAGTAGTTATAATAGGATAGAGTGGAATTTTGCTGGGGCACTGTAGGTGAACTTGCTGAGGAATAGGCTAGGTCAGCAGCTCTCGATGGGGGCTGCCTTGTGCAGGGGTTGGGGGGCCAGGATATTCCAAGAGATCAATCAGTAGGATGGGGCACTCAGGAAGGAAATGGTGGAAGGGGCCATGGGAAAAAAAAAAAAAGGAAAGAAAAGAAAGAAAAAGGAACATTTCCCACAGTAGATTGGTAGATAGATGTAGCCCTTTTCTTACCCTATTCTGGGAGAAAAACATCAGAACAGAGAATGCCCTAGATAAATGTTTCCAATAGTAGCATAATGCCCAGTTGTCCAGTCTCAGAGTTGAAATATCTGTTTGAAATGATAAAGTTCCTCCCTGATCCCTTTTGTTTGTAGAAATGATTTTATAGAAATTATGAAAGTTACAGAAATTACTCAGAGGAAAGAAGTGGCTCATAATTAATGAGACTATACACATTGACAGCTGGGTGAACAGAGACCTTTTTGAAACACTTTTGCTGAAAAACTGTTTCTATTAAGAGAGAATCTAGTTTTTTGGGAGGATGCTAACAAGGACACCTGAACGCTTCTTCCTGCTGTGTGGTGGGAAGAGATCAGGCAGCTTTATGCAATTAGAAAACTCCTGATTTATCCCAGATGTGTCATTTGTTTCGTGTCAGTTTCCGGGGTTGGTGCTATCTTCGTTGACCTTAGTGGGAAATGTGCTCCTTGCCTTTTCTGTCTTGGTGGCTGCTGAAATTTCTTGGCTTGTGGCTGTGTCAGTCTTGATTCTGTCATGTTGCTGTCTTCTCTGTCCCCTCTATCTTTCCATGTAAGGATGCTTGTGTTTAGGGCCCAACTGGTAATCCACGACAAGCTGCTTCTTTCAAGTCCTTAATTTAGTTAACATTTCTTTCTACCCACACCATGCCCGTTTTTTTTTTTCTGGGGGGGCCACATCCAGTGGTGCACAGAGACCACTCCTGGTGGACTTGGGGACCATCTGGGTTGCTGGGGATAGAACCTGAGTTGGCTGCACACAAGGCAAGCGACCTTCCTGCCGTACTATTTTCCTCTGGCCCTTGCTCCTTTACTGTTTATCTGCAGTCTCTGGCTCTTCTGTTGACCTAGATTTGAGAGGTTGTTTTTCTGTTCTCTGACCCACCTAATACAGATCTCTACTATTTCCATTATTTGTCCGGTTGTAATTTTTTCCTCATTTCCTATACTGACTTCTCAGAGCAAGGGTCAGTAAGCCTCGAGGGCTCAGGTTGGTCTGATGTGTTTTAAGTGGTTTGAAAAAAAAAATCAATGATTTTTTTTTTTTTTGCTACACACAGAAAAATGTATGAATGTAAACTTTGTCACTGTCACTGTCCTCCCGTTGTTCATCGATTTTCTCGAGCGGGCACCAGTAACATCTGCATTGTGAGACTTCTTGTGACTGTTTTTGGCATATCAAATACGTCATGGGTAGCTTTGCCATGCAGGAGGAATACTCTTGGTAGCTTGCTGGGCTGTAAATGGTGTTACTGGAACTATTGTTAATATTAGTAAGTATTACATATCAGTAAGACACATTAGTGGAATTCTGTTCCTTTATGTATTAGCCTTTGCTGTTTTCATGCTGTAAGGGCAGAGGTGAATAACCTCTGGTAACAGAGACCATGTGGAACACAAACAAAGCCAGATGGTAGATATCTAATCCTTTGCAGAGAAAGTTTAACAACCTTTGTTCTAGAAGATATGTCTGGTCTCTAACAAAAGGTGCTTGGTAGTTTCCAGGTTTTGTTGATTTTGACTTGTAAGAATTTCATTAATATCCTAAGACTATGATACTCAAAAAGAGTCTTTAAAGCTATAGGATTAGGATTATTATTATTTTTTGCATCATATGATTCCCGCTTTTCCTCTTTGGAATTATTCTTGCTTTTCATTTAAGAACAAAAGGATAGAGTGATAACTTTATCTCTGAATTTAATTGGTTTAGGAAATAGGCATTGTACCCAGGACTTGAAGTTGGCAATGTAATGGTTCATCTTAAGGATCAGTTTGACTAAACTACAGTGCCTACATGTAAAACAGCCGCTGAGTTGTTGCTGTCAAGGTTTTCTTCAGATGTGGTTAATAGCCACACCTCACAGACTTGGAGTTCAGCATACTCTGTATTTTCTTGGGTCTCCTCTAATGAGTTGAACACTTAAAGAGCAAAGACTGAATTCCTCAGTCACAAGGAATTCTCCCTCCAGATGCATCATAGGATTTCTGCTTGAATTTTGATCTGCTAGCCAGCCACCTGCGTTTCAGATTTGCTGGTATCTTTACTTGTGTAGTTCCACAGTTCAGTGAGGATGCACAGTTTAGCCCTCTCCCTTGCCGGCTGATGCCTGCCCCTGCCCCCGTACCCTTCTTTTCACACCTCTGGTAAGCTTTTTGCCCTTCCTGTCTTGTGAAAGAAAATGTGCTATATTTGGATTCCACAGAGTCTGAAATAAGTTCACTTGTGAGAGAGAGTGAAGGACTTCTTCCTCACTCCCAGATTAAAGCTGTGAGGAGATTTTGAGATGGAAAACAAGAGACAGAAATGCATAGATGTGCTGATAAGGAAGAATTGACAAAACAAGAAGGACTAGGTGAATTTCTGGGTGGCAGTGTCATTTAGAATATCCTCCTTTTTATTTGCCTCTCCAAAATTCAGAGCATTCTGTGTATGCAAACTGCAGTGTCCATGTTCAGCTTAGTTCTGTCATGCTCAAGAATGTTTCTTTCACTCTCGTTTTCCTTTTTTTTTTATAATAAATGGATAAAGATACCAAGAAATCTTGTACTTATTATTTAGCTATTTGATATGTATCTGTAATTGTGAAGGAGTTTTGTATGCCAAGACCCTTAAATTTGAGGGGCTACTAAACTCTCATTAAAAAAAAAAGACATATAAGTTAAACAATACATTTGTATAAGTGATAATTTATTTTGTATTTCAATGTTCTAGACCCTTGAAATGATATTATAAAAGTCTGTTCCATATGTGTTAAATGCTCCAAACTGGGAAGTATACTATCATCTTATTCTAGGAAATGGTTGATTTTGGATTGATTTGAGGATATTTCCTCTTTGTACTCAGTAGACACTTTCCTCTCCCTCATCCCTGTTTGCTATATCTTCTGTAAATTATTTTTATATGATATTCAGTTAGTTTAAAAAGGTAACTATATTATATATAGCATATGACAGATATTTATTTTTGTAATGCATATTTACAATGCATTTTATAAATGCAATTTTATAGGGAATGACCGTGAGTTCTTCCTCTTCCCTTAGTTTTGTTAAATAGGCATATAAGTGAAAGTATAAAATAATTCCTTGTTTAGAATTTTCTTTTTCATTTTCCCTAAGAAGCTAATCTGATAACACTTTCATACTAAAAGTTTTAATGGTTTCTCAGTGGATATTATGCAGATAAGTATGAAACCTGTGTAACTATCTGAATTCTTAGAGAATAGCGACATTTAAAGCAACAATTTTGTGAGAAACTTTTGATTATTCTTGAATATTCCCAGGGCTTGATTTTGTGGCAGTCTCTGGGTTGCCAGTAGGTGAAAAGGTAGGATCTTAATAGTCAAGCTCCATCCAGTTTTCTCAGAGCAAATGAATATGATGGAGAACTAGTAGAACCATCTTCAAGGAATCCAGGTTGTCCAGAGAAGGAAGGGGTTATTTTAGTAAGAAGTTCTGGGTGTAAGAAGGTGCCAAAGAGAAAAACCTTACAATTTGGTTTTGAAGGAAATGTAAATTTGTTGTTGTTTGTTTGTTTGGGGTTTTTTTTTGCATTTTGGGTCATACCTGGCAATGCACAGGGGTTACTCCTGGCTCTGCACTCAGAAATTACTCCTGGCAGTGCTTGGGGGACCATATGGGATGCTGGGAATCAAACCCAGGTCAGCTGCGTGCAAGGCAAATGCCCTACCTGCTGTGCTATCACTCCAGTCCCCAGTAAATGGTTTTTATGTGAAGGGCTCAATATATTTGGATTGAGATGTTGTGGCCTCTAGTGAAAGTTTTGTATGATGCTAACATCTTAGAAATGTACCTGCTGTTATTTGAACTTAACCAGATGACCTCAGAGACACATGTCTGTCATGTGTGAGACCCCCAGCACCACCAAAAGAACATACAAATATAAGAAAATAGGATAAGTATTAGCAAGAGCCTTATACCTTGCTACAACAGTGCTGTCTCCTGCAGACATAGGTATTCTCCAGTGTTGAGCATAAACCATTGCCTTTAAAATCTTTTGAGCAAATATTTTGAAATTGTATAAACTAATGTTTTTCCTCTCTCCCCGGTGTCTCCCAACATCTGCCCTTTTCTGTTGTTCTTGCAGTTGGTTAGTCTGCTGCTGATTGGGATTGCTGCATGGGGCATTGGCTTCGGGCTGATTTCCAGTCTCCGGGTGGTCGGCGTGGTCATCGCAGTGGGCATCTTCCTGTTCCTGATTGCACTCGTCGGGCTAATTGGGGCCGTGAAGCACCATCAAGTGTTGCTGTTTTTTGTATCCTTTTTTTTTTAAATCACAGAAATTTTGTCTCAGTTGGGTTTATTATTGTCATTGATTGCACTTTTGCTCAGAACAACTAGCCAAAAACATTGAACAATTTCCTGTTAGCCCAGCTCCATGTTATCTGTTCAGCCAACATCAGGAACATTTTTTGTTTGCTTGTTTTTGCTTTGGGGCCAGACCTGGCCGTGCTCAGGGTTTGCTCATGACTCTACTCAGAAATCACTCCTGGCGATGCTTGGGGGACCATAATGGATGCTGGGGGTAGAATGAGGGTCTGCTCTGTGCAAAGCAAGAGCCTTATTCTACTGTACTTTCCCTCTGGTCCAACATCAGGAACATTTTTACAGAGTGAAGCTGTTGTATGTTTACATATTCCCACACTGTCCTTTCACACCGCAAAGAATGAGTCTCTGAGTTCCCTTTATTATAAATTTAGAGTTTCACTGAACTGATTTAATAACATGTGGACTCCTTCCCAGAGTCATTAACACTAGATTGATAATGTCAGAGTGATTCTTTTTAGACTTAATATTAAGAAAGCTTAATTTCTATCTTGTATATGTAAAATTTTTAGTTTTATCAATGTACTTTTAATCGATCAGTTTTTTAGTTAAGAAATTCACATTATCATTTTCCTATACAAGTGTAGGAGTATATAGGAGTATATTATCAAAATAATAGTACTTACTTTTTTGGGAACTTTAAGTGCTATTTATTGTTTTTCTGGTGCATTTTCTAGGACATTCTAATGTTGCCAGCACCACTGCTTTATGTCATTTTAAGAGCGTCCTTAACTTTAATTCTCAGTACATGATTATTCTCTTACTTGTATTTATTGTTCAGTTTTCTGTATCTTGTGCTTGTTTAGCCCTGAATGAGGAGCAACAGGTAAGCAAGAACATTTCCCTTATACTTTATTATACCACATTGAATGTGTGCATTTGTTTAGTAGGGGGTGTTTGGGTGATGACTTGTGAAGGTGACAAATGATTGGAATATAAAATATTCCTGTTGCCATGTCATTCTTCACAGCTAATTTCTTCTGCTCCAGCTGCTCTAGTGGACAGATTTAAATCCTAAAATTCCATCAGGGGTTGTTATTTTGGGTATCCTTTAAAAGCAGTTGTGAAGAACATCTGACCTAAAGATCACATGAACCTGCTAAAAATGATGTAATCTTATCCTTGTGCATGATGAGACTGACATATACTTCTCATTGGCTGTCCACAGTCTATCTGCCTGTGTTGTATTGTATGACCCTCAAATGATGTTATAGGTATCCAAATGGTCCTTAGCAGAAAATAGCATCCCACCCATGCTTTTTTTTTTTTTCCTTTTTGGGTCACACCCGGCGATGCACAGGCCTTATTCCTGGCTCTGCACTCAGGAATCACCCCTGGTGATACTCAGGGGACCATATGGGATTCTGGGAATCGAAACGGGTTGGCCACGCGCAAGCAAACGCCCTACCTGCTGTGCTAGCTGTGCTATCTCTCCAGCCCCCCACCCATGCTTTTAAGATTTTTTCTTTCACTAGATAAAAAGTGCTGCTGCTGAACATACCCCACCCATTTTTTTAATGTCTTTTTTGTTTGTTTTTGTTTTGGGGCCACACCTGATAGTGCTCAGAGCTTATTCCTAGTTCTGTTCTCAAAGATCTCTCCTGGCAGTGCTTGGGAACTATATGGGGTGCCAGGCATTGAACCTGTTTAGGGTGTGTGCAAGGCAAGCACCTTCATGCAGAACTCTCTCCAACCTGCAACCCCCAACATACAATGAAACATTTGCTCCGTAGTATTTGTGGCTTCAGTCTAGAAATTACTGTTTTCAAGCTCTAATTTGTGGAGCATTATGATTCTCACGGGCGGGCTGGAGCGATAGCACAGCGGGTAGGGCGTTTGCCTTACAAGCGGCCAACATGGCCGACCCGAGTTCGATTCCTCCGCCCCTCTCGGAGAGCCCGGCAAGCTACCGAGAGTATTCGATATGCCAGACACAGTAACAACAAAGTTTCCAATGGAGACGTTACTGGGCCCGCTCGAGCAAATCGACGATCAACAGGAGGGCCTTTACCTTTTACCTTTACCATGATTCTCAGTGTTGGAATAATGGAACTGTTGTTACACTCAGAAATCTGCCCTTGAGCCAAGTCCTTCTTTTAAAAGCATGAATTGGTAAAGAGTTTTCCCTTATAGGTTAAAAGCATTACTTTGATTTTTCATAGCAAATTGAGATATAATCCTTCCAAAAGTTTTAATGTCTTATAAAGAATGCACTCACTACTAAAAGTTGCCGGCTCCCACATTATATGTTTTATTTGGGGTGGCATATTTTAATGTACATGTTAAACATATTTGTTAGGGTCAGCTTCTGGAGGTTGGATGGAACAATACAGCGAGTGCTCAAGATGATCTCCAGAGAAATTTGAACTGCTGCGGATTTCGAAGTTTTAACCCGAATGACACCTGCCCAGCTGTAAGTACAAAGTGTAAATCATTATTTGAAGATATATGGCTTCAAATGAGAAATTATGAACCTGGAGGAAATTGACTTTTAGTTTCATTGACAATGTGCTCTATTATCATATTGGCTTGTTCTCAAATAGCTACATCTTCCAAATATTCCAGGACACAGCTCTGGACCGAAAAATGATTTTGTTTCTTTTCCCTTAATTCCTCCTCATTGAACTCCTGAAAATATTGTATCAGAACAGAGTCTGTCTTGTGTGTGTGTGTGTGTGTGCGCGCACGTGCCAGGGAAGCAGATCAATTTAATTTAATTTATTTATTTATTTGCTTTTTGGGTCACACCCGGTGAAGCACAAGGGTTACTCCTGGTTTGGCACTCAGGAATTACCCCTAGCGGTGCTCAGGGGACCATATAGGATGCTGGGAATTGAACCCTGAGTTGGCTGCGTGCAAGGCAAATACCCTACCTGCTGTGCTATTGCTCCAGTCCCCAGCAGATCAATTTTAGCGATTCAAAGGATGTGAATATGAATATTTTGCCTTTTGGTAGATGAGGGCAGTCTGTACTGACGTGGGTTTCTTAACCGGTAATTACCCCCTGATGGAGGGCATAAGGAACTAACCACATTCTGCTTCCCCATCACTACATTATGTCCCTCTTGTTTGGGACTCCGAATCATTTTCTTGCTCCTGGACTTATAAATAATTTCCAGTTCCAGTCATTCCCTCTGAAAAGATGAATTTGAAGCTTTACTCCCCTAGAGAGTTCGCCTGTCTCTGTATGTGGGGGAAACTCCTATTGCTGTCTCTATCTTTGAGCCCTGAGCTAGATGTCCCAGCATGAGACCTCTTGTGTGGGATTCTTTCCTCAAAGGGGGTCTAAATTAGTTTTGGAGTAATTTTGTGCGTTAAAGCAGTAACCATTTATGGTGCATTATCAGTCTTTGTGGATCAGGAGTATGATTGTGACTTTGCTGGATCCTCTGCTCAGGAATTCACCAAGATGAAATCACGGTGTTGACCAGGGCTATAGTTTCAGCTAAGGAGTCTTCTTTGAGCTTACTGGTTGTTGATAAAAGTGAGTTTCTTGTAGGAGGGAAGTCCTGTGTTTTTTGCACATGTCTCAGCACCAAGAGGCTGCTCGCAAATTATATGAATCATTTCATTATGTAATAGTATCAAAGTGAGCATAAGAATTTCTCCATTCTGCTAGAGTGTTACTTAATGTATTTTATTTATTTATTTATTTTGGGGTCACCCCTCGTGATGCACAGGGGTTAACTCCTAGCTCTTCAATCAGGAATTACTCCTGGAGGTATGGGATGCTGGGAATCGAACCTGGGTCAGCTGCGTGCAAGGCAAACGCCCTACCCACTGTGCTATCACTCCAGCCCCCTAGAGTGTTACTTAATGTAACTTGGGAGTGATCATCTCATCATGTTCATGAACCCCATCTGCACTCAAATGGCATTATTCAGACCAGAGAATCAGGAGTCAGATTACCAGGGGCAGAGGGAGAAAGAAATGAGTGGAAAGTTAGTGTGTTTTCTTCTAGGGTGCCAGGATTTGAACCCATAAATGCCCAGCATACGCGTGCACAGTGGGTCTCATCCCTGACGAGTGAAGACTAATTTCTATGTGGGTGCAGTTTTTATCTTTGCTTTCTGAATATACTTTGAAGTGACATTTGTTTTCTTTGATTGATGCAGAGTTGTTTTAAAAGCAGCCAGCAATGCTCTCCGTGTGCTCCAATAATAGGAAAATACGCTGGGGAAGTTTTGAGATTTGTTGGTGGCATTGGCCTCTTCTTTAGCTTCACAGAGGTAAGTGCAGCTATCACAGCAGTATATCCCCTTGTCATAGGAATTCCTATTTAATATCGCAAGAAGGCATGATATTTTATTTTAGGATGGCATCTTATATGGCATCTAATGTATTTAATTGTATAATTGCCATATATAAATATATATTTTATATCTATAATGTATATGATGATGCAGTAAAATAAGGTGATATAACCATATAGTACTGTTTAGTGAGATTTTATACAAGAGACTTCAGATCAGTAATAGAAACTCAGAAACATTGTAGTATTTGTTTTTGTTTGCTTTTTTCTTTTTGGGTCACATCCAGTGGTGCTCAGGGGTTACTCCTGTTTCTGCACTCAGGAATTATACTCCTGGTGGTGTGAGCGTATGGAAATCGAACCTAGGTTGGCCCATACAAGGCAAACACCCTACCTGCTGTACTATTGCTCCAGCCCTTGTAGTATTTATATATCTGAAGTCAGCATGATCATTTAATCTCTTTGACATTTAACTTTGCCATCAGTATGTTATAATAATCTCATGGTCTTCCTTGCATGTGTTTTTTTTGATTTCTATCCTTTTATCCATTTTCTCTAGAATATATCTATAGAAGTAACATGGATGGTTTTTATTGTTGTTGGAGTACATGCAGTTCGTGCAGGTTTGCAGGAGGACCTGGGTTGCAGACTCATGCATTGGTGCCCTTAGAACTGCCAGGAGTAACTCTACTGTACCACTGGGTGTGGCCCGAAATAACAACTATATATAAACTCAGGGACCAGGGATATAGCTCACTGATAAAACACAGACCTTTTTTGTGCCTGAGGCCCTGGGCCCAGCCTCCAGTGTTACAAAGAGAGAAGAAAGAGAGGAAGAGAAAATGGGAGGATGGTGAAGAGAATGTCCTTATCTTCAGTTTCCAAAGTGTTCTTTCATGCAAACATTCTCCATATTTTATGTATTGTCTCCTTTTGGAACTTAGCTAGAGAGTTTATCTAGCCTGATATATTGGGGACAGTAATTTTTTAATTAATTTTTTTGTTTTTTTAATGAATCACTGTGAGGTACAGTTACAGACTTACAAACTTTCATGCTTACGTTTCAGTCATAAAATGATCGAATACCCATCCCTCCACCAGTGCCCATTCTCTACCACCAATGTTCCCAGTATACCTCCCACCTCCCCTCCCCCCCAACTCTGTTGCAGGTGCATTCCCTTTTACTCTCTCTCTCCTTTAGGGTGTTGTACTCTGCAATGCAAGTATTGAATGGCTGTCATGTTCGGTCTATAGTCTGCTTTTAGCATGCATCTCCCATCCTGAGTGGGCCCTCTAAACACCCTTTACTTGGTGGTACCTTCTCTATCTGTGCTGCCTTTTCCCCAGCATGTGAGGCCAGCTTCCAAGCCATGGTGCAAACCTCCTGGTACTTATGTCTACTATTCTTGGGCGTTAGTCTCCCATTCTGTTACTTCATATTCCACAAATGAGTGCAATCTTTCTATGTCTGGGGGACAGTAATTTTCATAAGTTCTCTTATTTAACTCGAAATGTCAAGGGTTTTTTTTTCAAAACTCAGAATTTTGAAGGGATGAGTTTAGCAGGGATGGTTTCTTAACAAAGGTAAAATGGAAAGACTACTACTTATCGTACTAAAAAATAAATGAAAAACATCAAAAAAACATCAATTTAAAATCTAAAAGAAAATTCTAGTAGGGGCTGGAGACATAGTACTGAGGGTTGGACATTTGCCTAGTATGCAGCCAACCCGGGTTCAATCCACAGCATCCCATATGGTCCCCCAAGTACCGCCAAGAAAAAAAAGAGAGAGAAAGATGATGAAATGTAAAATCTTAACACACCGAAGGTTGTGTGTTCACGGGCTCACTGGATGGCTCTTTCTCACCGCCTGCATTCAGTGCTCTTGAGTCCTGTGTGTGGCCTGGATCAGGAGGGCTGTTCTTTCTCTCAAGCTTGAGTCCCTCTCGTTCTGACTCTCCCCTGCCCGAGCTTATAGTCTTAGTTTATATACCAGTCACATAAGGCGGTGACATAAAGGTGGGTTGAATATTGATGAATCAACAAAGAGAGGTAAGACCACTCCTCCAGGAGATTAACTCAAGGATAAAATCTCATCTACAGAGATTACTAGGAGATCTGCTCAAGGGTGGGATCCAAACAAGGATGTGTTCTTCCCTCAGTTAGTAATCTACTTAAATAGTTGTAATAAATCTACTTCTAATATTTCTAGCAATGTCATTCTGTGTGAGCACAGTAAGAGATATAAATTTAGTTTGGTTCTTCCTGAGAACATCTCACTATACATTCCGCAGTCCTCAGGCCAGGTTAATCTTCCTAGCTCCAGCAGGGTCCTAGTCTCGTCATTACTTACTTTTGGATCATGACAGCATTTGTCCATGATCATGCCCTCAACTTATAGTTGAGTATCGTGGTTCTTTGGCCTGCCCCATTTCGATGCCAGGGTAGCTCACCACTTTCCCTGGGTCTATTCAGTCCCTCTTCAGGACCCTGCTTTTTGGGTGCTAGAAACTAAGGGCAACTGAGTCAAGAAATCAGATGCCCAGGAGTAAATATGATTCGGAGTCAATCAACTCCCAAGTTACAAAGCATAATATTAACTGTCTTCCTGTGTCCACACAGAAAGGACATTGCTTACAAGTTCAGTGTCCTTTGATGGGTGTAATCTGACAAACCTAAGCTACCTGAGGAAGAACAAAAGAATGTTATCCTACAATGAAAGACTAAGTATATCTACTAACTCAAATTCCTCCTCGGATATAACTGTTACTTTATTTTCCTTTTTCTCCTTCTATTTCAGATCCTGGGTGTTTGGCTGACTTACAGATACAGGAACCAGAAAGATCCTCGCGCTAACCCTAGTGCTTTCCTTTGATGTGCAAACAAGGAAAATCTTTCCTATTTGGATCTTGTTCACTTCCTCTAACTTTAAGTTAAAGCTGATTTGGCTGTTTGAGGAAACAGTGTCTGAAAAAAATTTTCATTGTCAACAGTGGGAGTCTATTTTTACTGTTATGTTTCTCTTTAAATGTTTTCCTTTTTTTCATTGCTGAAAAAATTTGAAACGTGTGGTCTTCTCTGAACCTCAGTGGTACCTTGTAACCTACTGTATTCACAGTGTCTGGCGCTGTCCACTGTGGCCTTTCTTAGCATTTTTACCTGCAGAAAAACTTTGTATGGCACTATCGTGTTAATCACATTGTGAATCTAATTATACATCTCACTGGAATACTTAATTGTATGTAGCACTGTGTCCTGTAGATAGTTCCTACTGGAGAAGAAAGTGTATGTTTATTACACCCAGAAAGTAGAAGATTCTATTATGTTAAGTTCTATGAGGGAAATGCAAATTCCCAATATTTGAAAATCTTTTTTGCAAAGATGCATTGTGGTGAAAGTTGTTCCACTAAAAGTGGTAATTTAGCTCTAGTAGACTTTCATGATTACACTAATATGTTTAGAAATAGTTATGTCATTGGGAAAAGTGGGGTTTAGTTGTGACTTTCCAGATAATTTCAAAAGAGAAATGAATTCATGAAATGTTCTGGTGTACATAATGTTTGCCTTCAAGCTTTCAAACTGGAATGTTTGAGAAATTCAGAAAGTTTATGTAACTGATATTCTTTTTTAATAATTTGAAGTTCAAAAGACTGTGTTTTTAAATGAGTTATTAATGCATTGGTCCATGTAGCAAAAAGATATTTGATTATCTTATAAATTGTTAAATACCTTTTTCAAAAAATTTCTCAGTATTGTAATAGCAACTTGTCAAATCTAATGTACTTGAATGTGATTTCCCTTAATTTGAAATTGAAATAGTATTGTGGTTCTGTATATTATGCTAAAAATTAAAGAATGGAGCCTTTCTTTGTGTAAGATTGCTTGAATTAAAAGAAATTACTGGAGTCTAGGAAATAGCTCAAAGGAATGAAGAACATGCCTTGCATGCACGAGACCTTGAGTTTGATCTCCAGCACCAAATGGTGGTACCCAGTAAATGTTGGATGTGGCCTTGTGACCCCTAAGTATTGCTCTTAGTGACCCCTGGGAATACCCCAGTACCACTGGAAAGAGCCCTATTCAAGAAAAAAAAAGAAATAAAAGGATTGGAAAACTGATTAAGAATAAAGTGGAGTGCTTTCTTTTTAGGTTTTCTATTATCAACTTGGAGCCAACTAAAACTATTTTAGAAAATCAAGCTGCAGAAATAAATGCTAATATATATTGATAGTCATCCCCAAATTCTTAAAATGATTTATGTTCAGTATTTTCTTCATATTAAGAAATGTTTTCAAAAGAAAGTGTTTCATATTTATTTAGCAAAAAACAAATTGTAGGTGTCGTGAGACAGTTCAGCAGGTAGGGCACTTGCCTTGAACCCAGCAAATGCTGGTTTGATCTCCAGCACTACCTGGAGTAATACATAATTACAGAGCAGGAGTAAGTGCTGAGCACTTCTGGGTGTAGCCCCCCCAAAACAAATAACATTTTTACTGAAAAACATTGATTGTTTGCATTCTGTAGAATATGGTATTTTATTGGTATTTATATTGATGCATTTTAGACCTCAAAAGATGGAAAATTGTTTATAGAATTTGAGAATTTTTCTTTTTTGGTATATTACTTCCTATGTTATACCCACAAAAGTCTGGAGGACTGAGTAATTTTCTTGAAACCTAAAATCCTGTAGTGCAGTTTTCATGATGTAGGGAAAAAAGACGAAGTACTCTTTTGAGTTCCTTTTTTTTTTTTCAATTTTATTGAATCACCATGAGAAAGTTACAAGCTTTCATGTTTGGTTTACAATCACACAATGATCAAACACCCATCCCTCCACCTGTGTACATTCCCCACCACCAATCTCCCCAGTATACCTCCCCCAACATTCCCCTGCCTCCATGGCAGACAATATTTCCCATACTCTCTCTCAGTCAAGGTCAGACCCGAACACCTGAAGAACCTGCTGTCAGTACTCATCAATACACTGGTTTGGCTCTTCACACGCTACCTGTCTGAATGCAAGTTTCCGTCCCAATGGAAAACCAGCAGGACTGTACTACTGTACAAGAAGGGAGACATCCATGACATTGGCAACTATCGCCTGATCTGCCTGTTGTCTGTCATCTATATTCTATTCACTCAAGTCATCCTGAATAGGATTAGTAGAACACTAGATGAAGAACAACCATGCGAGCAAGCCGGTTTCCGAAAAGGATTTAGCACAATCGACCATATCCACACGATAACCAAGCTCATTGAGGTTTCTCGGGAGTTCAAGTTGCCACTCTGTCTAATGTTCATTGATTTAAAGAAGGCCTTTGATTCTGTTGAGACTGAAGCAGTCATCGAGGCCCTAACCAAACAGGGCATTCAAGTCAATATATCAGGATACTCCATGAGCTGTATTGTGGATTCACTACCAGGATCTCACCATTCTACAGGGAGGTGATCATTGATGTCAAGAGAGGGGTTCGGCAGGGTGATACTATTTCACCAAAACTCCTCAGTGCCACCATCGAGAACACCGTGCGATGACTGGAATGGAAAGTAATGGGAGTGAAGATAGATTGGCAACTACACCACCTCCGCTTTGCCGATGACATCGTTCTTACAACACCGAACATCAGCCAAGTGGCACAAATGCTAGCCAACATCTTTGTGGAAAGGTCTGACTACAGCTGAATCTAACGAAGACAATGTTTATGAGAAATGGTCTTGTTCCTGATGTTCCGTTCACTCTCAATGGGACAAACATCTCCGAAAGCAATAGTTATGTGTAGTTAGATCAAGAAGTCAGCATGACCAATGACCTGGCACCTGAGTTGTGCAGGAGAAAGAGCGGCTTGGAACACCTTCAAGAATGTCGAAGAAATAGCTAAGAGGACAAAGAACCTCTGGCTCTGGGCACATCTCTTTGATGCCACTGTTCTTCCTGCATTAACATACTCTTCAGAGACCTGGGCCCTACGGAAACAGGATGAGAATGCTATTTGGGTTTCCCAAAGAGGAATCGAAAGAGCTATGCTTGGAGTATCACCCTTCACTCAAATGAGAGAAAGAATCCGAAGTTCCGACCTTCATCGATGGTCAAGAATGAGGGACGGTGTCTCATTTGCCAAGGCGTCGAAAATCAGATGGGCTGGACACATAATGAGATTTGGAGGTCACTGCTGGACTAGAGCCACTACCAACTGGATTCACAAGATGTCAAAAGACCACATGGCCGCCCACCTATGAGATGGTCAGACTTCGTCAAGACCCTGAACGATCGATTTGAGGCTCTTCGTGTTTCTTGACATTGGGCTATATTAGCACGTGACAGGGATGAATGGAGACATTACTAGCGCCCTCTTGAGCAAATTGATGAATAATAGGATGTCAAGTGATTAAGTGACTCTCTACTTTTGGGCATTATGGTTTGCAATACAGACACTGAGATGTCATCATGTTTGGTCCATTATCTACTTTCAGCACACATCTCCCATCCCGATTGATTCCTCCAGCCACTCCTTGTAATCAAAGAGAGATTAGCAGGCTAGAGAGATAGCACAGGGGTTAAGGTGCTACATAAGATCCCCTGATAACCACAAGAAGTGACTTGTGAGCACAGAACCAGGAATAAGCCCTGACTAGAGAGACAGGAAAAAAAAAACATTAACATGTGTACTGAGGCTAGGCCTCCTCCAGCACTCCAGGATGGATTTTGCCAAAACATGTCACATTGGCATGTGGGCTATTTTGCAGGTGAGATCAGTCAAGGACTTGCAGGTTTAGAAGATACATGTATTATACTACTTACAGTGTATTAGCTACCTACAGCAATGAAAATTAGATTTATTACCTACATTTAGCTTTGTTTCCAGAAGTACTGTTTCTATCTGAGCTCCATTCAGGGCAAACATGCCATCACAGGGCTTGTGCTCTTCTGTCATGTGAAGTCCCTTCTACTCTCCGAAGCCCAGGCCCCATCCCATTCTTTGGCCCATTATAAATACATTTATTTTCTCCTACTTACTTTAGAATTTATATCCTTGTATAGTCTCAATACTTACTAACTTTTTTTAAACAAGGTAATTTATTTTGAGTCATCATGAGCTATAGTTATAAAAATTTCTTGTTTGAGTTTCAATATAATTATTGGACACTCATTCCTGTCATTAACTCTTAATCTTCTGAATTTTTGTTAATCTGCTGTATGTTTGATAGTTTAGCAAGCCTGAGAAGAATACAGAAGGGTAGTGAGGAATTTCTGCTCTCCCTACACCTGTTCATTTTATCTGAGCTCCTGGCAGCCTCATAGGTGTCATAAGATGAGATGTTAGTGAAGTGAAAATGAGATTTCTGAACTGTCTTCATTTTAAAGTATTTTTATTTTTCCTGCTTGCTTTGTTATATTTTTGAAGGGCCCTGCAAGGTTCTGAAATACCCTATCAGATTACTTGATACAAAGGATTATGGAAAGGACTGCTTCAAAGAGAACCAACCCATTGCCTAGATTTGAGCTCTTCTTGCAGTGACCCTATTTGGGTCAATCCAATTACAGATTATGTCCTGGAAAGCATATCTTTTAAGGTCGCCAAACTATAGGAGGATGAGAGTAGGTGATAAAATGACACACCACTGAAAGATAGGGAATATACTTTCAGGTACTGAAGCAGACTCTATCAGATCAGTATAGACTCTCTCTCTCTCTCTCTCTCTCTCTCTCTCTCTCTCTCTCTCTCTCTCTTTCTGATATGAAGGCCATAGATTACCCAGTTGATTCTAGGAGGTCTCCTGTGTTTTGTTTTGTTTTGTTTTGTTTTAGCTTTTTGGGTCACACCCAGCGATGCACGGGGGTTACTCCTGGCTCTGCTCTCAGTAATTACTCCTGGTGGTGCTCAGGAAACCATATGGGATGCTGGGAATTGAATGAGGGTTAGCTGCGTGCAACGAAAACATCCTACCCGCTGTGCTGTCACTCCAGCCCCTCTCCTGTGATTTTAGTGTTTGGATGTGGAGATGAGCTTCTATTCTACTAGGTATTATTACAATACCCACCAAAAAGTCTTTAGGTAGATTTGCTCTCAATTCTGAATGGTTGCTAATGAGCCTGTAAAAGGTTGATCCCAGCATTACAGAGGCCATTGGTTGAATGTATGTGCAAATGCATCCAGTGAATTGGACAGCCTAGGCCCACTCCAGGGATGGTCAGTGATGGATACTATTGTGGGCCTCATGACTTGTTTCAGTGCTGGGTACTGAACCCAGGGTTTCACACATGCAAAGCAAGAACTCTACCACTGAACCCTATCCCAATCCCAGTTTACCTTTTTTTTTCAATTTTTATATATTTTATTTTCATAAAAGTAGTTCACAATAGTTCATTATAGATAATCAAAACCAATCCCATCACCGAGCACCTTCCCACCACAAAAGAGGGAAGTGTGTGAAGGTTATTGTATTTCATTCTGGAGCCATTTAAGCCCGAATATAAGAGAATACAAGCAAGTGTGTTAAAACCAAAGAAATGTGTGCTACTCTTGGTAAGTAAATTGCTTAGATTATAAGAGGTTGTGGGGCTGCAAATTCAGCTGGGTGCTCCAGGAAATTCTGTGTTGCTCCCTTCTGGGAGCTTTGGTTCATAGTCTGGATCTTGGCCGTTGATGAGATTACATGGTGTTTGTGTGGGGGTGGGGAGGGGGGTGACGTTTGTGGGTGTGACTGCCAAGCTACTGGGAAACTGGGGAGCTGGGTAGAGGAGGCCAAGTCCCAATTTGAGCAGGCTTGGAGATCTCAGCCACGGGTCCCCCATACCTGGGTTACTCTGCTAGTTCCTTCATGGGGGTGGTTCGTCTGAGCGTGTGGAGAGTGGCCTTGAGCATGA